TCCCATGCTCATGGACGCTGCGGGGCTGATGCTCTCCACCCTGCGAGCTTCACCAGGGGAGGGAGGGGGCACTGCCCCGCAGACAAGCCCTCTGCTCTCACAGGGGCAGGGTCTGCCTCCTGCGGACACCCGGAGCGCCTCCTGTGGACACCCGGAGCGCCTCCTGTGGAGGCTGCCAGGGGTGCGACTTGGCAGTTTGGCGGCTTAGCAAGTCCTGCAAAGGTTCAGTCTATCCCTCCACTTGGAACACGAGGGCATTTCTCACTTGTAGCATTACACTTATGACGTCTGCTAAAGTCCAGAGTCCCTGGACAGTCCGTTTAGCATCTTGTTAGAGCCGCCTCCCACCACAGTGTAAAGGCAGGTTTCTTACTGGATGTTTCCACACTTAAATGTCACATCCAGCTATTCTTACCGCTCTGCTCTGGCTCACTCCAACCAGGAGCTTCTCACAAACATGTGCCACGTGGGACTAGCCAAGATGTCTATGGGAAAAGGCTTTACTCTCCTCCATCACCTTCTCCCGCTTCTCCACCCCTCCTCAAGTCTCCTGATCTGTACCCAAAGGAAGATCATTTCCAAATCAACATCTAAGAATGGGCACTCACTCCTGCAGCTGTACCCACGGTGTCCATGGAGAGCCCATACAGAGGTGGGCTGTACCCATGGTGCCCACGGAGCCCGCACAGAGGTGAGCTGTACCCATGGTGCCCATGGAGCCCGCACAGAGGTGGGCTGTACCCATGGTGTGCACGGAGCCCGCACAGAGGTGGGCTGTACCCACGGTGTCCACGGAGCCCGCACAGAGGTGGGCTGTACCCATGGTGCCCATGGGGAGCCCGCACAGAGGTGGCTGTACCCACGGTGTCCACGGAGCCCGCACAGAGGTGGGCTGTGCCCATGGTGTCCATGGGGAGCCCGCACAGAGGTGGGCTGTACCCACGGTGTCCACGGAGCCCGCACAGAGGTGGGCTGTACCCATGGTGTCCATGGGGAGCCCGCACAGAGGTGGGCTGTACCCATGGTGTCCACGGAGCCCGCACAAAGGTGGGCTGTACCCATGGTGTCCGTGTCCATGGGGAGCCCGCACAGAGGTGGGCTGTACCCATGTTGCCCACGGAGCCCGCACAGAGGTGGGCTGTACCCACGGTGTCCGTGTCCACGGAGCCCGCACAGAGGTGGGCTGTACCCATGGTGTCCATGTCCACGGAGCCTGCACAGAGATGGGCTGTACCCATGGTGTCCACGGAGCCCACACAGAGGTGGGCTGTATCCACGGTGTCCACGGAGCCCGCACAGAAGTGGGCTGTACCCATGGTGTCCGTGTCCATGGGGAGCCCGCACAGAGGTGGGCTGTACCCACGGTGTCTTTGTCCACGGAGCCCGCACAGAGGTGGGCTGTACCCATGGTGTCCATGGGGAGCCCGCACAGAGGTGGGCTGTATCCATGGTGCCCACAGGAGCCTGCACAGAGTGTGGCAGCAACTGTGCTACATGTTCACCAAAATCTTTTGTCCTCTGAACACACTGGGGGCCACTCTCCCTGCCTCCTTTCAGCTGGCTGGGCACCGGTGGCAGTTTTTCTCAGAGGTAAATGGAAGTGGCAGGTGATGTCCTAGTGAGGCCATTAAGAGGAGGCATAACATCTTCATGCTCTCCCCTGAGATTGTGATCGAGGGCCACGTGCTTGTGCTGGCACTGCTACCTGACCAAGAACTTCCTGCCAAACAGAAGACAGAGGCCATGCTTCTCTCTAACACCCTGGAGCACTCTGAGAAGGATGCATCTGAAATTGTCATGTTTTGCAGCGTCAAAGGAACTTATATTGAAACAGTTTCCTTTTGGTGGGGAGAGTCTGATTTCCCTCTGCGTGCCCATCTCATTTCTCCTCGGCACTTTCTCCTTTTGCCTTCTCATCCTGAGCTGTCAGTGGCCGCGCAGTTCAGTCAGTAATTACTGAATGTCACTGAGTCCTGGGCTCTGCTCTAGGAGCTGCCACTACAAAGCAGTGAAGATCCTGATGAAGAAACCCATCCCCTGACCCACAGGCTTCACAGGGAGTTTTTAAACTCATCACAAAAACTACAAAAATTATTATCACAAGGAGCTGGTTCTTTGAAAAGATTAATGAAACTGACAAACCCCTGGCTAGACTCACTGAGGAAAAAAGAGAAAAGACCCAAATAAACAAAATCAGAAATGAGAGAGAAGTAACCACTGACATCACAGATATACAAAGGGTCATACTAGAATACATGCCATCAAATTCAATAACCTAGAAGAAATGGCAAGGTCCTAGAAATATATAACCTTCCTAGACTAAATCATGAAGAACTGGAAAATCTATGTAGACTGATCAGCAGTGAGGAAATTGAAACAACCATCCATCAAAAACCTCTCTCCCAAAAAAGTCTAGGACTAAATGGCTTCATCAGTGAATTCCACCAAACTTTCAAAGAAGATTTCAAACCCATCCTTCCCAAACTCTTTCAAAAAATTAAGGCAGAGGCAATTTGCTCTCTTCCATCCTTGTCAAGAATGAGACAAGAATGTCCACTCTCATCACTCTTAGCCAACATAGTTCTGGAAGGCCTAGCCAGAGCAATAAGGCAAGAGAAAGAAATAAGAGGCATACAAATTGGGAAGTAAAACTGTCACTCTTTGCAGATGTCATGATTCTGTACATAGAAAACCCTAAAGAATCCACACACAAAAAAGTATTAAAAACAATAAACATATAATAATATAATAAAGTTGCAGTATACAAATCGATGTACAAAAATTCACTGCCTTCCTGTATACTAACAACAAAAGTTCAGGAAAAAAAGAACTGGGGAAAAAATTCATTTTGAAATTGTGACCCAAAAAATTAAATAGCTAGGAATAAAACTTAAAAAGGACATGAAGACCTATATACTGAAAACTACAAAGCATTGTTTAAAAATATACAACAAAATGGGAAATATCTTATGTTCATGGGTTGGAAGAATCAACATAGTTAAAATGGCCACATTACCCAAAGCAATAGACAGCTTTACTGCAGTCCTCATCAGAAATTGAACAAGACACCATCCATTTTGTATGGAGCCACAAAATAGGTAGAACAGATAAAGCAATCCTGAGGCAAAAAGGACAATGCTGGAAGTGTTGCTACCTGACTTCAAATCATACAGCAGAGCTATGATAGTCAAACCAGCATGGTATTGGCAGAAAAACGGACACACAGGTCAAGGGAACATAATTGTAAGCCCAGATATAAAATGGCATGTAATTTGGGCAGATAATTTTTGACAAAGGATCCAGAAACACACAGTTGGGGGAAAAAGAAAGCCTCTTTAATAAATGGTGCTGAGAAAATTGGGAAACCACTTGCAAAAAAATGAAACTGTGTTGTAGTTTGTCTCCATGTACAAAAATTAACTCAATTGGATCAAAGACATAAATATAAGACCCAAAACAATAAATTAGATAGATGAGAGAATAGGTAAACTTTTGGATCTGGGTCATAGGGAACATTTTATGAACTTGCCTCCAAGAGGCAAAAATCAATAAATGGAACTAATAACAAATTAAAAAGCTCTGCACAATGAAAGAAATCCACAAGAAAACAAAGAGGCAGCTGACCAAATAAGAGATGATATCAATATTTTCAAACAATCGCTCCAACAAAGGTTTAATTTCCAAATTATATAAACAACTCATAAAATTCAACACCAGACAAACAACCCAATTTAAAAAATGGGCAGAGGACCTTAACAGTCACCTTTCCCAAGAAGACATACAAACAGCCAATACCAGTAGATGTACTAAAAGATGTTCAACCTCACTGGCAATTAGGGAAATGCAAATCAGAACTACGAAGCAGCCAAGGGGTGGGAGGTCTGTAAGACATGCTCAAGATCACACAACTTTGTTCTCTGCTCTGCAAAACCCCTGTTTCCGTGCAGAAGTTGTCACGTTAGACCTGTAGGTCCATGACCGTGTCTTGTTCCAAAACTCACATTCATGTTCACCACACACCCGGTCCTGTCCTCTCTCCTGCACCAGGGCACCTCCCAGAGCTGACTGCGCCCTCCAGCTGCCCCCTCTGTTTCTTTCAAAGTAGAAGACTTTGGGGAGCAAGAACAGAGCTCAGCTTTTCTGTCCTGAAAAACAGGGTCAACGTTATTGACTTCCCTCCAGCTTGGGATGCAGGCTTTCAATTTAGGGGCGTGCCGTGCCAGAGCTCAGTCCAAGGCCATCCAGCGTAATTGCTAGCTATGGGCTTGGGAAGCAAATCTGTTTCTGGACAGCACTGACCAATTCTCTATCGCTGCTTTCTTCTTCTTTCTATAAAAAGGAGTAGAAATTTGAGTCTCTATAAAGTAGCAAGAGTTCAGGGACAAGCAACAGATACTTGTGTCGCAGAAGTGCTGCAGGAACACTTTTCAGTAAAGTTGATTGCCACCACACACCATGGGAAGGAAGGAAAGGCTTGCTGATCATTCTGTTTAAAACTGTTCTGAGGGTGACTAATCATTCTGTGCTGGCACAGGAGAGGCCGCTGTGCTCTTGTCTCTGTCGGAGCTTTTCTAAGACAAAAGCTTGGGAGCCTGAAGTCAAAAAGGGAAGAAAACAAAACCCCCAACTCAGTTTCCAGCTGTGTGCAGGTGAAGCCCTGGGTGGCGGGAGCATCCCCTGCTGGGTGTGCCCCCTCAGTTAGTCTCCTGAGGGTGGACTGGACATCACAGACCCTCTGCCCGGGTGCCGGGTCCTTCCTGGTCTAGACCGGCCTGGCGGGAATGGCCAGCTTTTCTTCCTCTCAGGGACCTGGTTCAGAGGCTGGTCACAGGGCTGCCTGAGAGGTTTGTCACTGAAAAGCCAAGAGGCCTGTGGTGGCCGCCCACTAGGTGTCAGCAGTGTAACCCCCAGCGAGCACTGGGAAAGCCCAATCGGAGAATAATTAGTGAGGATCAGAGCTACCTGCAGCCTGGCCACTCACCACCGGACAGAGCGCCAGGAGAGAAGGGCAGGTGCGGGCACAGCCCTCCGGAAGCTGGGAGAGGGGCCCTTCTCCCAGCGATGTCTGAAAGGAGCCGGTGGCGTCCTTTTCCATTTTCATTCCAGGACAACCTGTGTGCCGTGCAGGGAGAGCTGTGAGCAGAGACTTTCCCTTCACAGATGCACTGCTCACAGGCAGGTAAGGCCACAGCGGGCGCCACGGCAGAGCTGTGAATGACTGCACGCCGGGCAGAAGCTGAGCTGTCGGACGGACTCTCACCACGGCCACTGGAGCGCATCTGCACTCGGGACTCGAGGCCACTCGGACCCCTGCTGGGCCCGTGGACTGTTGCTGTCCTCCTGCCCGGCGGCCCCTGCTCAGGCCCTGAGGCCGGGCTGCAGTGGGAGGGGCGGGAGGAGGCCAGCATGGGTGTCCAGGCAGCAGGACCGCTTAACCCGTGGCCCTGGCTGCTGCTGCTCGTGGCCCTCTGGAGTTCGGAAGCCACGTCTGCTCTGAACAAGCCCACCGGTCCCCCCGCCCAGCAGGCGCCCGGGGCTGGCCTTGCCTCGGGCCCAGCGCTGGGCGAGAGGATCACTGTCTTCGAGCTGGACTATGACTACGTGCAGGTCCCCTACGAGGTCACCCTCTGGATCCTTCTCGCTTCCCTGGCAAAAATAGGTGAGTGCTGTGCGCGTCCCGCAGGAGATGCTGCGTGCTGAGTGCCTGGGGTGGGCGCGAGAGGGGCCTGTGCTGCCGTCCCGTCAGCTCCACCCCGGTGGTGGGCTCCAGCCCTCCATGCCGCAGCTGCTGGGACGTAGAGGCGGACCTTCCGTCCTGGGTGCTGTCATTTCTTCTCACTTCAGTGTGAAACCATGTGGCATTAGTTGGCGTGCAACCATCTCAAGGTTCTGTGCTTCAAAACCACTGGAGAGTGAAGCACGCAGGTCCCAGGACGATGGCCAGTGAGGTTTCATGAATCACATGGAGATTGTTCTGTAAAATAGTCTCCCTTCGTCCTTGGCCACGAAGCCAGGGGCTTCGCCAGCGGCTCCCCGTGGATCCTGCGGAAGCAGGCTGTGCTCCTTGCGAATTGGCAGAGAGCAGCTCCCAGGCCCCTCGGGGATAGGAGACGGATGACAGGGCTTCATCTGTCAGTAGAATGCAGATTTACACGTGAGCCACCTGAAGCCACACCTTCCTTTGTGAAATAAAGTGAATTCAAGGTGATGGATTAAATTCTCATCAAGGTTCTTGGTGCCTAACCCAATGTAGTTTTACACTCTGTGACCATTTATTTCCAAATGCCACCCCTTTCTCCTTAAACCAGCTCCTGAGAGCCAAGGCCAGGTGGCTCCATTGGTTGAAGCATCATCCCAACACCAGAAGGTTGTGGGTTCAATCCTGGTCAGGGCACACGCCTAGGCTGCAGGTTCTGTCTCCAATCAAGGCAAGCATGGGAGGCAACTGATCAATGTTTCTCTCTCTCTCTCTCTCCCTCTCTCTCTCTCTCTCTCTCTCTCTCTCTCTCTCTCTCTCTCTTTCCTTCCTCTCTCTTCAAATCCTCAGGTGAGGATTAAAAACATTTTTTTAAATAAAACCAGCTTATTCAAAAGTGGAAAACTGATACAATTATTTCAATTACTTTGTATAACATATCCTTTGCCTCGGTTATGAAATTGTCATTTGAATAGATAAAGTGCTTTGTTAGAAACTATGGTGCCCATTTAGGCTGGGTGGGAAATGGGCTGAGCCATGAGATCTGCCGGCTAAGTCCTTGGCATCAGGACTGTGGGCTCTGTCTCTTCACCTGACCCCAGGATGTTGGGGTGCAGTGTGTCAGTCAGGTGCTCCTTCTTAACTGCCATTTGTTCTGGGCTGTGCGGTATGGAGATTGAACGAACTGTTACCTTGAAGAACTCTCGTGTGATTGTCAGATGGTGAAGTTATGCGAAGGACCTCACATCATCTCTCAGAAGCGCTCACATAAGACTGGCCGCTAAAGGGGGTGGGCAGCATGGAGCCGAGGGCCCAGCCCCTCTCAGGCAGCCACAGGGACTGAGAACATCCAGGTCTCAGCGGGTTTTAAATGTTCCTTTCTACTCACTGGAGGGATGCTCCGGTCGCCCCTCCCGGCACAGGAATGCTGGGCCATTCTGGGCCATGAGCCAGATCGGTGGTGACTGGCTAGTAACTCTGTCTTTCTAAGTATCAGCTTGTTCATCTGTGAAACTATTTTTAAAACCTCTTTTTGGTGCAAATAAGGATTTTCTAATATGTTCTATGTCAGTAAATATCACAATGCAGAAAGGGTGTATTTTATCTTGATTTGATATTGGCATAAAACATAGATTGCTCTTTAGAGGTAGCATATGTGCCCAGACTCACTATGTCTACAAGTCTAGAGTGTTGTAGTGGTTTAAATGTTCTTAATTTTCAAATTGATATAATTCAACATACTTTAGAAAAAGAAAATAGCTTAAGTAGGTTTTCAGATGGATCATGTGCATTCAAGTACAATTTCATATTTGCTAGTCTTTCAGAATTCAGATTATTTTTACATTGCATGTGAAAAGCAGGCCGTGTTTATTGAATACATACTCGGTGCCAATTACTGGGCTTGTAGATTTATGTATGGTGGCCCATTCACCTGGGAGTGGGGGTGGAGGAAGACATAAAACTTTAAGACAACAAATACATGCAGCCTTTTTTAGATTCCACATTATGAAATTTGAGTTAAGATACAATTAATAATCATCATTACTATTCATTATTTCATTTATCATCCTAGCAAGCACTCTCACTGAGCTGTGCAATGCGTGGAAATGACATGGTCCCTGGCCGCGGGGACTGCGCTTCATGGGGGAGATGGGGCATGTTGGAGGGGGTCTAGCACTGCCTGGCAGGCCTCTGCCAGGAAACATCACAACTCTCCCCGGTCCTTCTGATTTCAGTATTTATTTATTTATTTATTTATTTATTTAAACATGACTTTATTGATTTTAGAGAAGACGGAGGGAAACAGAGAGAGAGAAACATCAATGAGAGAGAGAAACATTGATTGGCTGCCTCCTGCATACCCCTCCTGGGGAGGGAGACTGCAACCCAGTCATGTGTACTGACAGGGAATTGAACTGACAACCTCCTGGTGCCCCAAGAGGACACCCAACCAACTGGCCACACTGGCCAAGACTCCCCAATCCTTTTTAAAACACCAACTATGCAAGTTGTAAAGTATGCTATTATAGAACAAAGATAACACAAAGTCACCTCAGACTTGTTTATCTTTTATTTCGGTTCCACTTCTTGTAAGTTTATAGAAGGATGCCCTGAATCCCTGGGCAGAATGGAATGAGAACTCTCTTTGGCTTGTAGGTAGGACATTGATACTTAAGTTTCATCACTGAAACTAAAATTCTCAAGTGACTGACTCTCCTGTTGTCATGAAAGGGAGAAAGCTCTGGCGTAATGGACAGGCAGCACTGCCTTCGGGGCCCTGGGTGCCGGCGCCTCTCCCGGGACTGGGCAGGTGCAGGCGCTGAGGTAGGGCAAGCTGCATTCATCCCAGGACACTGGAGTCCAGAAAGCAGGGCCAAACTGGGAGACAGAGAGCCTAAGAACACTGCGTATGGACTCTTCCACCTCTTTGACCTTTACAAAGTTCCATGTGACTGACATAATCACTAGAAGAGGAAGAGGAAGGGGAGAAGGAGGAAGTTCAGAAACAGAGAGAGCGGGATTTTAGAAGGAGACCTTATGCTGGTTTTGAAGCCAGTGGGCTAAGTGTGCGGTCTGGGATAATGTCTCCTGATGCTAATAATGTGCCCTTGTATTAACCAGCCTGCTATAGCGAACGGAGAAGTTCTAAGTTACAGTCAGGGAAACGCACGTGCTCCTTGGATGGCTGACCCTAAAATACTCCTAAGGAGACATTCAATGGCTCCCTATGGCTAAGGAAGAAAAGCTACACTCCTTAACCTTAATTCAAGGCCTCCAGCAGAGCATCTCTTTCCTATGCTCCCCCCAATTCCAAATTTGCCCCAGCCAGGTGAATCAAGCATTCTTATCAAACATTCCTATCTCTCTATTTTCCTCTTGGCACTCTCCCAACCTGGAAAGTCTTCCATTTTGTCTCTGTAAGTCATAAGCATTCTCCAGCGGCCTGTTCAACTTCTGCTTACCATGTAAAACGTTCTCTCACGAACATGCAGCCTGCCCACCCGTTCCCTCACACGCGTGATCCCCCAACAGGCGGCAGGCCCTTGTGCGGGGACACCTGGGGGAGCGCACTGGCAGATGTGAGGGTGTCTACCCCTCTGCCTCAGGCTGGGGAGGTCAGGTTTCATAGGGAGAGGAGCATGCACACAAAATAGTAGAAAGGGATCACTATTGTCACACCGGTCCATATGAAATTTTATAATAATTCAGGGGAAGACATATTATTTCTTTTTAGAAGAGACCAGGGGAAGCTTAACCTCAAAGATTGAGCAGGACCAGAAAAACGTTAAGAAGGACAATCCAGGCAGCAACAACAGGTTGGGGAGATGGGAGGGGCCACAGGTGCAGAGAGGTGTGGCTGGCTGTGGGACGGAGATTCTGAGAGAGCCCTGGGTGACATGCTTCGCCCTGGCTGCCCATCCTGGCTGCTGCCCACTGCGTCCTGTCTCAATGTGCATTTAGTTGTATGCTTACACATTTTGTTTGTTTTTCTCTTATTTTTTTTAATGTCTTATTTCTAAAATGTTATCAACAGTTGGAATTGCAGAGAACATGTTAGGTCCTCCACCCCCAGTCCTCTCCCGTGGGTGGGTAGCAGGGATGCTTAAGCAAACCCTCCCTTTCAAATCCATGCGGTGTGTGAGCACCTTCACATCTCAGGTGAGGAGTGGGGCCATCAGATACACACACACGTGGTGTAGGGAAGTCCTCTGGCAGCAGGAGGGGGTGAGGGGGGGGGGTGCGTTGAGGGTGAGAAAGAAGGTCAGCAGGATAAGGCAGAATTAGAAGAAGAAAGGGGCAGTCCTGAGCAAAGGTGGTGGCTGTGGGATTGGAGAAAGGGAGGGACTGCAGGGGCAGCTGGGAGAGACGTTACTGATGAAAGAGGCAGCTGAGTAAATAAAGGAGCAGAAGTAATGGGGAGTCATGAGAATGCGACTTGATTTCCCCTTAAGTGGCTGAGTGAATGGCAATGTCCTTGATTAAATAAGGGGAGAACGGACTTGCCTTTTGTTTTTTGTTTGGAGGAGAGGGAAGTGAGATGAGGTCAGTTTGAAGTCAGGCGACAGAAAAGACCGCATGAGCCTTGAAGGCGGCTTTGCATGCGCAGACAGGCCCACCGCTTCTCTCCTCTTCTCTCCAGTGCTCGGTCCTATCAATGGGGAACAGGAAGGATGAGGGGGGACTGCTGCCTAGCACACTGATTCCGCAGCCAGGGCTGGCTTGCGTGTGAAGCACGTGGTCCCGTGTAAACCCACCGGCCAGGGCCTTCACACAGAGAGCTTGGCCAGCAGGCACGAGGCCCCGTCTCGGGGTCTCGGGGTCTCGGGGTCTCGGGGTCTCGGGGCTGGCAGCTAACTGTGGCCTCTGCTCTTCCCCAGGCTTCCACCTGCACCACAGGCTGCCGGGCCTCATGCCGGAGAGCTGCCTGCTCATCATTGTGGGCGCGCTGGTGGGCGCCATCATTTTTGGTACCGACCACAAATCGCCTCCGGTCATGGACTCCAACATCTACTTCCTGTACCTCCTCCCTCCCATTGTCCTCGAGGGCGGCTACTTCATGCCCACCCGGCCCTTCTTTGAGAACATCGGCTCCATCCTGTGGTGGGCAGGCCTGGGCGCTCTGGTCAACGCCCTGGGCATCGGCCTCTCCCTCTACCTCATCTGCCAGATCAAGGCCTTCGGCCTCAGCGACGTCAACCTGCTTCAGAACCTGCTGTTCGGCAGCCTGATCTCCGCCGTGGACCCCGTGGCTGTGCTCGCTGTGTTCGAGGAGGCGCGCGTGAACGAGCCGCTGTACATGATGATCTTCGGGGAGGCCCTCCTCAACGACGGCATCAGTGTGGTGAGGTGGCCGGCGCGTCCGCTGGAGCGGGGATCTGGTGGGCATGCGCCGGGAGACTGAGTTCAGGGCCCATGGGAGGCAGAGCAGGCCTGAGCCCGGGAGGGACAGCGTTCAGGTGACATTCCTTAGGGTGATTGCTGTCTGACACTGAATTCCCAACTAGCTTCTTTTTCATGTTTTAATATACTTTTATTGATTTTAGAGAGGAAGGGAAAGGGAGAGAGAGAAACCTCAATGATGAGAGAGGATCATTGACTGGCTGCCTCCTGCAAACCCCCAATAGGGATCCAACCTGCAGCTCAGGCCTGGGCCCCTGATCAGAAGCCAAACCATGACCTCCTGGTTCATACAGGTTGCGCCCAACTAGCTTCTTTAAAGAGTAGAAAAGGGGAGAGAACAAATCGTTCTGTAGTTAAACTCAGAGTATCACTGTGCAAACAGAAACTTGCTCACTGCAGGCTCTGTGTGCTGAGTACCTTGTCATGCTGCATGCGCTGTGCCGGTGTATGAGGGAGGTAGCAGAGAGCTGTGAAGTGCGCTCCTCATGGGACAGTGTGGCCTGCAGGCATTTGGGAAATGTGGGAGCAGGGTTTTGCAGAGGAGCCGGAAGGACTGAGGCTAGCTCAGACATCAAGGCCCAGAGGTGCCCGTGGCTGCAGGTGCTAGAATGTTCCGGACTAGCCCTCCCATTGCTCAGTCTCTTACGTTACTGCAAACTTTCACCAGTTGTTAGCCTGAGATTTTTGTGTATACTGTGATACACTTCCCTTATCTTAAAATTTGTAACACATCACATAAGTAAAACTAGAATGATTTTTAGCGTGAAAGTCAAACATTACAAATTCTACAGCTAAAGGCACCAAGTCTAGGAAGGAGGGTACGCACACACGCGGGGCCTTGGGGCATACACATGGGGTCACAGGCACACATTCAGGGCCACAGGCACACACGCAGGGCCACAGGCACACACACAGGGCCACGGGCACACACACAGGGCCACGGGCACACACATAGGGCCACAGTGGGGTGTGAGAGGCAGGCTGAGTAGTGCTGAGAGGAAGCTGCCTCCTGGCTCCCATGGACGGTTGTTTGAAGAGGCTGGTTGTTTGAAGAAGTCCACCAGCTGGCGGGGGCTGGAACCCACTACTCAGGCCAGGATCTGTGTCTGGTCCCCTCAATAGGAAGTTTATTGCTGGGGACCTCATCCACGGGATCAGAGCGGGGAGGGCTGTGCGGTTACCCACTCGAGACCCTCCCTGTTTTAGCACTTGTCAAGGTAGAAGGCAATATGAGCTCTTACACCACGGCTGCAAATGTTTCTCAGAAGGCAGAGACCTTACATTTCTGCAGACAGTGCACTGAGCATGTTTCCTGGTGTCACATCAAGGGGCATGTTTTCGTCATGTTTTCCAGCCAGACGAGCAGGGGGCTCTGCTGGCTTTCGCCTGTGGCGCGGGGCAGCATCTTTCTGGTGGTTGTGGGTGATTAATGCTTCTCATGCTGAAAACTGGAGCTTAACTCTTTGGGGGTGCCATATTTAAAACAATGCCAGACACCCAATTAAATTTGAATTTCATAGAAACTGCAAATAATTTTTATAAGTATGTCGCAAATACTGAGTATTGTCGATTTTCCTTGTGGACCACTTATTGTTTTTATATTTAATAGGAGGCCCCTGAGGGGGGAATCCCTGCAGGTAAGGGGGGGGGGGGGTCCCTCAGCCCAACCTGCCCCCTCTCACAGTCCAGGAGTCCTCAGGGGTGGGAGGTGATCTGGCAATCAGGGGAAGGCAATGCCCCATCACACCTCTGCTGCTGCCCCTGCTGGCAGTACAAGCCTCAGCCGGCCCTGGTTACCTGAGCCTTTGGCAGCCCTGGGCAGCTGGGGGGCCGAGGGGACTGGAGGACTCTGAAGGCAGGCATGTGGAACAACTGGACACCCCTGATGGTGACTCCAGCCATGCTGAACACCTGCTGCCCCAGCAGGCCTGAGGGGACTGGACACTGCCATCTTGTGACTGTGGGTGCTGCCATCTTTGAGGGTGTGGCAGTCAATTAGCATATTCCCTCTTTATTGGCTGTGGGTGCAGCCATCTTTGTGGGGTGTGATGGTCAATTAGCATATTCCCTCTTTATTAGATAGAATTGATTTGTAAGAACTCATTAAATTATTTACATTTTAAACTCCTCAATATTGCATAAAAATCAAGCATTTTCTCCCATTCTGTTATTTTTTTAAAATTATGGTATTCATTATTCTATACAATATTTCAATTTTTCCCACTGGCAAGGCCGTGGAACGCCCCGGTGTGGAAGTTGCTAGGGAGCCTGGCTCCAGGCGCCCACAGATGTGCCCTCGGCCCCAGCAGGACTCCCCCGAGGGCCCTGCGGCCAGGCTCTGCGGGAGGGCACTGAGGTCTGTGTGCAGCAGGCCTGGGTGCTGGCTGGCCTGGGAGCCACTCTCTGGGGAGTGAGTCTGTGGGGAAGGAGGAGGGCCTGGAGGGCGTGAGTCTGAGCCGCTCCGCCCTTTCCCTCGAGCATTTTCACGTTTCAGTCTTGTCACAGTGGAGTGAGTGTCCTCCGCTGGGACTTCGCCGTGAGGCCTGGTGTGTGCGTTTCACAGCGAATCTCCCGATGTCCTCACGTGTCACTGACGCTGAGCTCTTGGGGCGCCGGAACCCCTCCACGGCAGCCCCTGAGGACAGCCTCAGGCCGCGCTGGGCCGGCGTCCAGTAACCTCTCATCTCCGCCTTCCCTCAGAAGGAGCTCCCTGCCCCCAGGGGAGGGGGCCTCACGCTGGTGCTGAGAAGGACCCTGTCACCTCAGGGGAACCTTTGCCTCCGGGCTGGGCCGCCTGGGCACCAGCCTCCCTTGGGATCAACCAGGACAGCCTCCACAGCTGGGCTTCCGTCGCTTTGTTTTTCTGGAAACATCTGTTTGACTTTCCAAAGCTTAATTGCTTCCACTTGGACACTTTTAAAATGACAGTTTACTAGTAAAGTGCCATGGTGACTGCCCGGGCACTGCCCTGACTCCGTCCTGGCTCAGAGGCTGCCCATGCGCCACGCGGGTCACCCGGTCGCCCACAGCACAGGGACGTGCCCTGTGCGGCAGGCGTTCCTGCGGGTGGGGCAGCCGGTAACGTGGCTGGCAGCCCGGTGAGCGCGGGCCGCCCTGCTCTCCTGGGGAGGGAGCCTGCCCTCCCGCAGGCTGAGTCACCAGGCCTGGGATTGTGGTTCCAGGCGACAATGCTCAGATGTGTGTGCACCAAGAGCTGCCTCTCACCGCGGAGCAGCGGCTCCTGCAGAACTGCCATCATGTAACAGAGCGAACCCCGGCCTGTCCCAGGCTCCTCCCTCGTGCCCAGGGTTTGTTAGACTCCTCTCCCCAGAGCTTACCCTAAGTGTGGGCGAAGGGAGCAGAGACAGACCATTGCTTACAAACAGCGGGTTGCGTGGCAGGAGCTCAGGGGGAGGAGGTTGGCCCCTGGTGCTTCGGGCCGCCTTCACACGGTTATTATATTGAATCTCTGCACGTTACTGAGGCTGAGTCATGCCCACACTTCACGATGGAGAGAATGAGCCACGTAAGTTAAAATAACTGAGTGAGGACAAACTTCCAGCAGCGACAGACAGCACAGTGCTCTGGGCCGCCTGGTCCCAAGCTCTCCCTTTCGTCCCTGCCTTTGGACTTCCCATGGCCTGCGGGGTGGGGTGGGGTGGGGGGGAGGGGGCAGAGCAGCCGGTGGAGCTGACAGGGAGGCGGGCTTATGTCCACTTCGGGCAGCAGCACTGTCCACGTGTGCTGACCTCGGAAGACTGAGAGCCTCTGCCTGCATGTGAAATCCAAATGCAGAGCCTGGCTCCAGAGCCCCTGGGACCGCACTGAGCTCCCGCCAGGGAGAGGCCCAGCCCAGCAGCTCGTGGGCCGGCCTGGAGGCCAGCACTCTCTTCACAGCACCTGCTGCTCGCCCGGAGCACGTTCCTGTGGGACTGTCCTCAGGCTCCTTCTGCTCTCCTGGTCCGTTCGCTGACTAAGCCCCAGAGTTTCTGTGAAGCCCTCCCTCTGTCCTCCCTCTCCCCTCCCTCTCCCTTCTCTCTGCCCTCCCTCTGACCTCCCTCTCCCCTCCCTCCACCCTCCCTCTGCCCTGCCTCTGTCCTCCCTCTCCCTTCTCTCTGCCCTCCCTCTGTCCTCCCTCTCCCCTCCCTCTCCCTTCTCTCTGCCCTCCCTCTGACCTCCCTCTCCCCTCCCTCCACCCTCCCTCTGTCCTCCCCTCCCCTTTTCCCCCCTCCGCTCCCTCTCCTCCCCCTCTGCCTTCTCTCACTCTCTGAGGGTCCAAAGGGCCAGTGGCCTGCTGCAGAGACTCTGCCCCACATGCTGCCCCCACCCTACCCTCACCCCGCAGTCCATCCTGTAGGAATGGGGGAGAGAGGGTCTGGAGGGACGCACACTGCCTGTGCCGAGCCAGGCCCGGGCAGAGAAGTCACTTGACGTATCACATGTGACTTCTGTGTGGCTCCGTGTCCAAGACACACACTGGAGAGCGTCCCCGCTCCTTCCCGCCAGCAGCGAGAGCGCGGCTCCTAGCAGAGCCATAGCCTTTGGTTTTGTTTTTTTCTTTCTTTCTTTGTTTTGTGTTTTGCTAATCCTCACCCCAGGATACTTTTCCATTGATTTTTAGAGAGTGCAGAAAGGAGGGGGAGAGACAGCGAGAAACATCGATGTAGAGAGACAAATGGATTGGTTGCCTCCACATATGCCCTGACCAGGGCTGGGGTTCAAGCCACAGCTGGTACATTCCCTTGACCGGAATTGAACCCAGGATCCTTCAGTCCTCAGGCTGACACTCTATCCACTGAGCCACACCAATCAGTGTGAGCCGTACCCTCTGTCCGACTCGCCCTCCAAGATGCATGCTTATTGCTGCACTGGCTCCCCAGTCCCAGCCCCTTATGCAGAGTGTCTCCACTCTCCTCTCTCCTCCCCTCCCCACCCCTCCAC